CCCCCCCCCCCCCCCCCCCCCATTTTCATACACCTTACTACTGGTTTCCATAAGGGAAATGTTTATCTCGAGTTGACGCCCTGCCTATGCTTTATCCTGTCATGTTAACGCGTACAACGTATTTCGTTCAACCAGTTTGAAGCAAGTGTAACAAACCTGAGGATTTTGCCAGTATGATCCTAAGTTAATGTAACCAATCACATATATTTCGTTAATATGCAAGAATATAAAAGGGGCTAGTTACATTACGTTTGTTAATCTTTGATATCAGAAAATATCCATAGCATTTTTTCTACGGTTTGTGTATAGCCATGTACTCTACAGATGTGTTTGATATTATTTCATCTATAAAACCGATACTTTGGTCCTTTCATGAAACCCACAATGTGTCAAACACTTTTTATCAAAACAAATCTGTATCACTTTGTTGGAAAGTGTCTGGTATGTTTCAAAAATAGTATGTTAAATGAAATAATCTCAATTTGAGTTCTCTACTATCTTATGATTGAGTTGAGACGAAAGTGTTGCAGTATGTTGTATTACAAGAACAATTAATGAGTTTGTTTAGTGCACTAGTTGAGGCTGAGGTGGCGAAGTAGGTTGAACCCCTCATATCACAGGTACACTCTCTTAAATGTGAGAATCGTGATCTTCGCCTCATTATTGATGACGTCGAGCAGTATGGAAGGAGGTCGCTTGTTAGATTCTCTGGACTCCAGGATGAGAATGGGGAGGATACTACGGCTAAGGTTTTGTCGGCTGCTTCTGCTGCTGGTGTTGACTTAAATCCCAGCGATATGGAGCGATCCCATCGTGTGGGTAAACCCAGACAGCAAAGTAGTCACGATCGCGCCCCTCCCAGGCCTCGACAGATCATAGTCAGGCTGAAATCCGTTGATACCAAGTTCCGTCTAAGAAAATGTCCAAGCTATGCCCATGTATTCGTTAATGAAGATCTCACGAAACACCGCATTGAACTGGCCTTTCACGCTCGCCGACCGGTTAAATCGAGGATGATCTTACAGTCGTGGACCACCAACGGTAAAGTTATGGTCAAGGACAAGTCCTCTGGAGTCAATCAAGTCCGCTCTGAGTCTGACCTGGTCCCATTTGGACATGTTGTATCGGCTTCCAATTCAAACTAAGCACTCGTGTACTCAATGTTCACTACCGTATGTACATATTACTACCCGGACACATATCTTAGTCTGTACAGTTAACGTATATTATAACGTATAACGTAATCGTATGTGTGTGTGTGGCTCTGTAAATACTTACCATCGCGGGCCTTCAATTATTATGTTTATAAATTATTTTAATCGAATTATAGCAGTGTACATGTGTATATGTCCCCACATACTTTGTTTGTAAACATGCGAAATACATCGTCGCCTGATTGGTCACTTTCGTTCGTCCGACGAGTCAATTTCTCATCATTTTCACACGACTATTGTGAGCATTATATGCATATACCTGTCTTATATGATCTAAAGACATTGATATGAATCTTAAATCCTACTATTAACCAGTGTCATATAAGTAATAGCTATATATGTTAAGTAATGTGTTTATGGCAAAAAATAGCCCATGTTGTTGGTTAAGTTCAGGCAAGTACGGGGTCAGCCATACACGTACGCTTGATCCAGCCAATAATTTGCGGTTATTTGAAATTTGTATATCTTGCTGACCTCTGACCTCTCCCTTTATCACACCAAAATGACTTACATGTACTTTCTCTTTTATTACCTTGTTTTCATTATTCTGCTATATCTTTAATGCATACGCACAACACTAAAGATGCAGAAAACTTCCGCTCAATAACATGTAAAAAAAAATTATATAAAGATGCATTCCTACCCTCAGCTGTCGATCTATGGAAATCTCTTCCTACTCATGTAAGAGATAATCCATCACTATATACCCTAACGAAATATTTATGTAGCCTTATTGTAAACATTCCCGATTATTTCTACCATGGCAATAGCCAGGACAAATTCATCATGCCAGATTACGAATGAAATGTAGCTTACTTACATCTCACCTTTTCATGAAAAATCTAATTGCAAGTCCTATTTTTGACTGTGGTAACGAAAACGAAACAAGCCATCACTATTTGTTATGTTGTTCCAACTATACCAGACAACGGCATCTTTTCCTTATACATCTTCTCCCAATAGAACCTACAGACGCCCTACTTTTTGGCAATAGTTCTTTATCAACTGAGGAAGACGAAGCTATATTTGATAGCGTCCAAATATTCATATTACAAACAAAACGTTTTGAACATTTGATGAGAGATTGTGCTGGCACTATTGCTTACACCAATGTACGTTATCATTATTGTTATTTTTAATTATCAATTCAATCGTCAATGTTTTGATAATTGAACACTACATAATTAATTACAAGAATATAATTAAGAGTATATAACCATATATATAGTTCTTCTCAATTATGCCAATTTAAAAATTGCATTCCCTTATCATCATATATTTTGTCGAGTCTGCATATACTCTCCCTCTCTCTCCCTCTCTCTCGCTCTCTCTCTCTCTGTCTGTCTCTGTCTTTGTCCCTCTTTCTGTCTCTCTGTTTCTCTCTCTCTGTGTTACTGATCGGTAAGTTGCTACTAGGTTGTATATGTTTAAAAGGAGACGGATTTAAAAAAGTTATTAACTTTTTTTCTGAATCCTTATGGAATATTTTGTGTATCTTGAAATGTTGTTTTAAAAATAAAATAAAGTTTAAACTAAAGTAAAACGTCTTATATTCATGGAAGTTCTGTTATAGGCTACTCTGTCATTTACTTAAAAATTGTAAGACAAATGAAAAGAAAATGAAAAAAAACACACGGTATTTTATATCAATAAATTGTATTTACACTCCTATCGATAAAATCATAATCGTTGTCCTTCGATGGTTTATATAAAATGTTCTCATTATAGCATTTACGAGCATATTTTGTTCAAAGAGAACAATAAACACGTACGTTATCTTGCAAAACATCACACAATCATGTGTCGCCATCTGCTGACAAAAACTCAAATCAAGGTTTATTCTCTGGACTTCCATTATCTGTCGAGCGTTGCGTTAATTTATGAGGGTATTGCTCCACACATTTTTCAATCAGGAAAAATAGATAAACAGCTGTTATGTTCCCTAATAACTCCTCAATATAATTCACTTACGCTGATCCTATTGCCGTGGTATTGGATAGAATTGATGCCAAAACATGCAACATACCATCCATAATATATGGTACTTCTCTGATGCTGTTACATGTATATTCGATGAAACTATCAGGCTTGCTATTTACGGTTTAGGATAGACACACATTGACGATACAAGTCGACAATACCTGATCTAAACTCAAAGTCTAAACTCACTGGACACCAAACCAAATAGAATCTTAGACTTAAGTGTTTGCTCAGATAATTTCGTAGGACTCATTTTTTATGGAGTTGTTTGAAATAGGTTAAGTCAAAACGGAAGACAACTTTACACTTAAGATAGTTCCATATACATATGGAGAATGAGCTCACATATAAATACGATAGAACGTGTAGGTCTCTAACGGTTGTAGACATTGTAAGTGGTTTGTGATGTTACACACTGAAATATCAAGGGAAAATGAAGTCATGATTGCGACCGTAATTTCTTTAAGCTTAGAATGTATTGACCCCTCTCCGTTAGGAACACATAACACAGTTGTTTATTGGTCAACACGGCACATCTATCCTTGACACTCTGATCCTAAGAAACAGGCTCTGAATTAGCAAATCAACTCTGACATTTAAACTTCATAAGCAAGGGAAACTGTGATATTACTACCGGCAAAGGAAACTAAACGATCGTGAAATTAAAATTGTCACGTTCTTTACAGATTTTGGTAGTGAAGTGATAGTTAATGTCATACTGTAGGTAAATGTCAAAATATGAATTTAAAGAAAATGGCTCTATAGTGTCCGTTGATGCAAGATACTCTTGGTTTTCAAGGACAAAACATAATGAATATATCTGAATTTGAAACAAATGGATCGGCCGGTACCTTGTCTCCGTTTGTCAACCTGCTAGAAGCAATTCACTTCCATACGAATGAAAAAGGAAACAGATCGTCTAAAGATGGTTCAGGGAAAAGCCCCACTGACATACCGACAGCAACATCAACGTTTTTGTCACATGTTTGCTGTGTGATGTTTAATGGATTTGGTTTCAAAAAGTGAATTAGTGTTCAGAAATTAGAATATTTTCCAATATTCCAATGATTCTTAAGAATATATTTTGAAATACTGATCCAGTATATAGATGTTATATCTGCACACGAGTCCTTTGCAGGTAAGGCACACAACAAATGACGCGAAAACCGATTCATAATTGAACTTCATTTGAAAAATCTAGCCCTTTACGTGCAGAGATTGTATAGCTGTGTTTACAGACAAAGGAACCTGAGCAGCTGGTACGTCAAAAAATGATTTACAGTCCCCTATCTAAACTTTGGAATCGCCCAATATTCTACAATAAAATGTCATCGCCTATCGAAAGATTTAATACTACTTAATATTCGTTATTAACCAACAATGGAAAACAATCATTGATAGGTAAAAATGCTACATGTAAGACATTGTGATGACATGAACTGATCTTATAAATAGATAAATGAATAAATATTCCATGATTTAACAAGTATAGCCAGACATAAGGTGCTATATGTACCATGGGGAAAGGTATACGTACTATGGTCATGACGTCATGTACCGCTATTTTGACGATTAAGTTTTAATGCACGTCAATAATTGCATATAGTAGGTTCAGAGGATTTCCAAAATGTCCGTGCTTGACTGTTTCCACTGAATCTGTATGTCGACCTTCGGGTTGTGTCATAGGGTACACGTCCATATATTGACTATGTATGAAACATGTCCCAACAATAAACACACAACAAGCGAAACAAAATCTACAAAATACTGAACATTTTATTCAGATATGCATCTTTAACGAATGCAATTTATTCAAATATTCAACAATAAATTATTACAGTACATTTTAGACTCGTCTTTTCCATAGTATCTTTTTCTAATATATACAAGACCAACCATTCATTATTATATACATACCTTATCGAGCGTCGTGAACCGAGCAACAATTGTCATACCGTATTGTAACCCTAACCAAGTACCCGTATTATTGAAACCGTCCTCATGCTCAAAGTCAGATTTTGTGCTCAAGAGCAATTTCTTATTCCATTGATAGATTTAGGAAAAGTTACATTTTGTCAATTATCTCGAAGAATTAAGAAGAATCTTGAGGCTGAAATCAAAACTATTTTCGATGTTTAAACTTGACCTTTTGATCTTGTAACATGATTTTAAGCCAGCGACGAAAAAGAAGGTTAGAGCACAGAATCAATGCTTGAGTACAAGAGCAGTGTCATGAATATGGGCCTACATTTCAATTTAACACGCTTCTTGAACAAGTACCTTATAATGTACATGGACTCGTGTTTTGTATAACACTGAACATTCGGGTATGCTTTATAAGACTACCACATTAGAACAAACTAGAGAGAAGTAAAGATTGTAGATTTAGAACGAGGGAGAGTTAAAATCACGGTATGACAATCCCGCAAGGAACAACAGGATGACTTGCTATATGTCAAAATGATAAAACTTGAATGATGGAGAAAGAATATCACTTTAAAAAAAGAATTGACGTGATTGATTGAAGTATGTTTAAATAATGACGTGCACTACACATTTATAAGTGTTTAACCGATGTTCTGGTTTAATAAAAATAATACTGCCAAATTCTGAGTCGGTACATAAAAATGTATACGAGAGTAGAGAGTAACTCATCGTGTTGCTAGGACAATTGTGAAATCTTATTTTCAGGTTTATCCAACGCGACACATGGCATTATTTCATTTTATAACAACGATATCTACCCAATACCGCACAAGGAATATTTGTTTAACGGTGGCATCTCTACCGCACTACATAGATGTATAATATGTAGGTATATCTTTATAACACTAAACCAGGAATTATTTCATAACACATTGAAGGGAAGTTTTATAATAATGATTACCACTTTTATAACATTGATCACCCGAAATAGTTTTGTAACACTGCTCTAGACATATTTATTTTATAAAAAAGTCTTTTAAAATATATCAAAATATAATGTACCACGTCAATTTACAGCTATTTACAAAGAGAACTGTAGTTTATAAACTTATCAAATCAAGTATTCGTTAATATCGATCGTAAGGAAATAAAAAGTTTTTTTTCATCGCGTTGAGGTTTTAATTGACTCTGGGGCAAAAGAGTCGTTGAATTATTCATCATGAATATTAATGAACGGAAAAGCCTTTATATCACTTCGATATTACTTTGTTTCGGTGCATTTCATAAATATACTTTTGGCATCAACGAAAAATGATTTACATGGTTGGTTTAACGTCTTGGCAACACAATACCGAACTTTTATTGTTCAATAGATTTTATTTAATGCAATATTTTTATTCAAATAAATCAATTTCTTAGGGCCGGATTACACACTTATTTTGAAATAAAGCAACCCCTGTTATTGTCACTACTGTACAATACTACATGTATGTCTAGTAACACTCAGAGGTAATCGTATCCGTATACTTATGGATATTCAGTTTTCCATGCGTTGAAATTTCGTTAATAGATATATAATTGAGGGCAATATGAATTCTTATTGAATATGTTTCGTTTGTGATAAAAATCATGATTAAAAACACAGTCCACAGGAGTAAGATTTAGTTTCCATGTTTAGGCCTTCAGCCATAGATATTGTCTTACAACACATCTGTACCAGCTCCTTACATGTTTGATATTATACATGTTTCGGTTCCTGATATAACTAAATGCGTTTCTTTCGAACGGGACGTCACGTATGTTTTTTTTAGTTTGTCAGACATTCGAATGAACGGACGGACGAGCTAAGCCGATACCTTGTGGCGGTAGACTGTAAGAGTATTCCTCAAAAAAGAGACAGGTTTGTCTTGAAGTAGTGATTTACACGTGTAATGTATCGTGTACAATGGCGATATGTACAGATGGCAAACTGCATCAAATGGAATGAAAGGAACACATTGTATTTACATCAACATTATATTATAACGACATAGCATTACTTTACACGCATTTCACTTATAAATTGCAGTTCCGGTCCCCGTCATGCTTTGCGGCCACCGGAAGCTACACACTCTTATTTATGCTACCTGGTACAATATTGATCGAGATAATGATGAAAGACGAGTGCTGACTATCAACTGATTAAACATGTAACAAAGGCGATGTCAAACGTTCGGCCAACAACATGAGACAACCAGGGATTAGCCCGTCCTGGTTGGAGACACATTCGAGTTTGTGAAGACGGTTTACCTAAATAAACTGTCAAACAGATTACAATAGTATGGTGTTGTTTCTTGTACTAAAAATGAGCATTGTTTAATATTGTCATCCTTTATTTATTATTGATTATCTTCAAGACATGTGACCGCTGCATTTGTAATTGTGAAAAATGTAATAAATATAATATTATCGCAAATAAAATGGATAATCTTCACAAATTATGCTAAACACCAAATCACAAGTTACATCCGAACAACCTCACTGTTGTACAGACCCCCTTTGGCAAAAATAATCACGTTCAGCGAATAAAACATAACGTTACGTGCAATAGTAAAATCTCATTGTGATAAGGCGAACTTTTTACACTTTCACAGAGCGTTAATCGGTTTTTATATATTAGCATACGATCTTTGAATCACAGTGCAGACATTTCAATCCAATTACACCGTAGAATGCCATTGTCGCCTCATTTCATTGCATTACTCGTTCAAGCACTAGTTTACCGTACCGTATGACATACGTCTAGACGAATCGTATCTAGGGAAAACCTGCAAGTGAAACCGTTCGGAGGTAACTACAATGGGCAATTCAGCGTTCACCTCATACTTTTACTGAAGCTATTAAATATCAACATCCATTATCTATTTCTCACCTGTTTATCGTTATTACTACAAAATGCAGGAAAAACGTAAGATTATGTATTTATATATTTAAAGAAATATCACCTGTACATGAAACCTCTATAGCTATATAAAAACCTGCTAGCTGACGATCTACACCAGTTGTATCTGGAGGACGTTTGCGGCTCATATCTTTTTATATTGAATACAATGAAATCCGTGTTAAATCAGTTGAAAAGATTGATAGATTAGTTAACTACTACTTACAATGAGTGACGTCATTGATGTTCTTATTTGGATTTCAGTACCTGTTGTCTGTATGGTATAAAACGGGGTTGGTAATGAATACAGCGGGAGATTCATTTCAAGAGTTTCATCATATTTTTTTGCAAAAGTTATAGACGCCTGGAGAGTGTATACCCATCACAGCTGACGGGCCTTTCGAAATCATTTCATTATGGTTTTTAAAATAACCTGGGAATATCGGGTTCTATAATATGTACCATATTTCGAAATTGTCTGCCATAAACTGCTGCAAATACATCTTTCTGTGATAAAAGTGCAATCTAAACATACATTGCGGAGAAGCCTGGCCTTATCTTAAGAATAGCACTTTTCATGATATTGTATATCAAAGAAGATCACAGAGGGCGCCCATCCTAACATTTCGTATTGGAAAAGTCCAATAAGAATGCAATAATGTCTCTCTGACTTAATCTAATAATTAAAATGTTTACGACGTCACAAACAACGTCCATTTATATTTTTCATAAAGAAAACCTCTTGTGTTTTGTAACGTAACGCAAGGTAGCTCATGGTGTCTTTGTCAGTAGCTGTACTTGTATCGTGTGAAATGAAGGCAGAAAACAAATTATAAAGCATGTCTGGATCTGCACTAAAGCGCATATAAAACACATCTTGTTTATCAAGCTTAAAGGAAATTAAAGTTGCATTTGAGGGCATAAATCGTGCTTCAGAATAGTGTCTTTTCTTGATTTCCTTGTGACGTCACAAATGATAAAGAAGAGGTCAATTACTTGTTCTACTTGTTCTCGAAGAACGCTGAGGATACAAAAATATCAGTTCTAATGACGGAGAAACTTTTACGATAAAATGGACGATTTTTTTAATTTATAATATGATTTATTACAAATTTAATATAAAAAAAAAATCTAAATTCAGTTTGAGTAGTAAATTATACAGGAATAATTTCCAGTATGTTGTGAATTGCAGGGTTGTGTGAGCTACGACTTGTTCTCGTCCTAGACTGGCCTTCAGTACACAGACATACACTCGTATTGACATGGAGGGACTTAATGGTAATGTCGGCGTTTAATTTCAACAATGTTTATTCCATTTTCTTTTCAATTCCCTAAACAGAGAGTCTGGGATCCCCTTGAGATAGATATGACGTGACTGCTTGAATAAACAACAGTCAAACAGGAGTGACTGGTGTACTTATAAAAAACGGTAATGATAAAATTGTAAGAAATTGAAGAAAAAGGAAGTGTGGAAACACGTTAGTAGGATGTGTAGGCGTAAGGAGAACTCGGCAGTGTACAGATGTAAACTTGACTTACGTGAACCAAGGGCCATATCAGGGTCCTGCAGGGACCCCTGGCACGTGTAACAGGTGACCCTTACTCAATATCAACTCCCTGATACATATAAATAATAAATATGAATGATACGAAATGGTGACTACAGTGCCAATGTTGTAGCCATGCGGACTTTATCAGTTTTGATGAACGTCTGTTATGTCCTGATCACTGGCCGTTAAACAATCTGAATTTCCATGTCTCGTCGAACCTGGACTCTATCACGACCGGTCATGATCCTGGAAACGATTGGCGTTCCGTGTTAGCATGTCATTTCTTGTTTGAAACGCACATGCGCAGTCTCTTCGATCATTGATCGGTCTGCGCTGATCGGGTCAATACGACAGTTAGACTTCCGTTACTATCCGGACCGGAAATAACTGGCCGGAAGTTATAGAGAAAAGAATGCCGCAGACGATTCGTCACTACAGCGACTGCTGCCTAACGTTTCCTGACGTCATCTGCTGAATGGGTTAACAACGACCAGACTGAATGTATAATTACGGAGGAGCTCATCAACTCCATTTAACCAGATTCCAGACGTAACTATGCTGAGTGGTCACTAAAAGAATCCACCTGTCCTTCTTAACACTATGAACCACACTCTAATGCACACGCGCCCAGTAATTAAGCCTCATTCACAGATGCATATTCTCTAAACGATCCTCGGCCAGCCCAAGCCGCATAGACATAACGTCTGATGGCGGCACCGCTTCTATATAGCACGTGTCTCTATGCACAGGCACCCGCGTGGGATGACCCCCTAGTGGACGCTGGCCAGTAAATATACCAACGAGAAGAAGGCCAACAGTACGTGAATTGGTAGATTGTGTAACCTACACTGTCCGCTGATATCCGACGTTTTGTCCTCTGTTCCTGAAAGTAAATGAAGCTTAAGACAGCTTTATTATGCTTTGTTAATATAAAGTGTAAAACCAAAAATAAAACAATAGCATAGTGATATCAAAGATAACATATGTTAACGTGAAGGGAGTTTAACCAAACCATGTTCGTGTTTTGCAAGTTTTAAGAAGATAAAACCAATTCAAGCAGAAATCAAAAGGTAATGTGCAAGGTGTATTTCTTAACAATGAAGTGTTTTAAAATTTCAGTTTTATATAAACCAGAAGTATGTTGAACAGTACATATCACTAAAGCATAGATATACCACTCGGGTAAAGCTTTTAACGGTCAGAGGAGTTAGCTACCCACATATAGATTTAAATAATATAACGACAACTCGGCAATATATTAAAAATGCCGCAATCATCCATTCCTCTCGACATGGCCATTCGGAACACATTGTAAGGCACAAATGGTTTAAATATGGATTGCACATGGTATAAATTAATCGCGACTAGCCATATTAATTAAACTTTATTTCTTTGTTTAGAGATATTAAATGTTTTTTTTTGTATTCATGCTTTATTTCATACCTGCAAATATTTTCGATATGTGAACTTAAGTGACATGCCGAAATTCTTTCACGTAATGTCATTTTCCCACTGAATTGTAAATTAATTCATTTTACAATGCCGCTTGAGAATTATCTGATTCTTTCTTTTGGTTTATATTTTTATCCGTGGTTATTGAGATATTCCCTTCATCTCAGCATCAAAGTTATACGATTACGTCATTCCCGTAGACAAAATGTTAAATGATGACGTAAAAATGTTTTGGCGAATTAACTCATCTTGGTTAGAATTATATGAAACGGATAGATATGTTGATACTATCAATAAAATAGCGAGATGATTCTTTGCATGTATGCTTAATTTCATCAATATTTAACAAAATCAGAAAATTAATTTTCCAGATGCATATCACCATAGAATCCAATGGGAAAATGACGTTATGTGAAAAACTTCGAAGATGCCACTGTATTTCCATTGCTATGAAAATGTTTCGCACAATATAACAGTTATTGACGTACTATTTATACAACGGTCTAGATTAAGTTACGAGTTTTAATATAATACTTAATTTACTAAAATCAGTCTTTCCCCCCGATCATTATACAACAGATAACGTCAAATCGTTTTATCTCTCTCTCACGACTGCCCACGCAGTTATACATATGACACCTATACAAAAGCGTTTGAACATTATAATTAGGGAATGTTCGTTTTATGTGAATGACATTTTAAAACAGGGTTTCGCATTGGAAATAGATTAAGCTAATGGGAGCGGTGCAGCTTCACACAGGCTGTAATTAACCAGCACGCTACAAATCACAGCTCGTAATAGAAGGTATATTGGACACGTCGCGGACACGTAGGGCAGGGTCGCTAGCCCGAACTGATATTCCTGTTACGGCCCACAGCAATGAACAAGCAATAATTAAGAGTTTTAAGTCGTGACCTTCACAAAGGGTCGCCATTGCCTAGTAATTAACCTGCTGAAGGCGCCAGTGTCGACACCGAGCACTTGCTGTAAGAATAGCATTTTGTTAGGAAAACAGTTTTCAATGTCGATGGCTCTTTTTTCTAATACTTTGATATTTGCCATTGTTTTTTCCAAGCTTACACACTTTACATGTGATTTGTGTTAGAGTTATCCCCCTTACATTATTTTTCTTAAATATCGTTTATGAAAACACGCATTCTAGTGTGACAATTGAATGCATCACACTTGTATCAATTAATTCCAAACCCTTATAACATTTCATAAAAACGGTTACATCTGTGTTAAAGTGGAAATCTTTTCCATAAAAGATTCACGAATTAGTCAGGCAACATATATCCTTAAAACATTCTTTTTGTGATGATACTCACCGCGTTTCATCGGATTTGTTTCCGCTGAAAATAAAATGTAAAATTTATTAGAAATATCTGCAAATATAAAAATTAATTTAAGCTCGAATTGAAATAATATACCAACAAAATGGTGGTTTTTTTTCAATAACAGTCCCAACCATATTCTCGAAGTGTTGGTTGTTTTTTGTCCAGCACGTCCTGGCTTTTGAGTTATTTTTATTTAGACTTTACAAGAAAAACAGCCCAAAATGTATCTTTCTGTATTTTAACGACAGTAAAGTAGCAAACAATACGAATATCTTACTTCAAAAAGAAGATATGGGAAAGAGAGACGAAATCAAAAGGAAAGCATCTTGAACATCTTCTAAACTAGTCGTAATTGTAACATTCCTCTCATATTGGTTCATCGTATGTCGTCAATACTACCGCTATAAGTCCTAATAGAGGCAAGGTTTGGCTATAGTAGAACATTTAACGTTATTATCTACAATATTTATCATCTGGAAGCTCACGATCGTATTTTATAAATTAGAATACATTGTAACCGTTCACCTTCCCCAGTGAATTCTTAAGCACGAAGCTGCTCACTGCCACAGCATCTTTCTTTAAGTGTAATACGAACGACATGTCACACATTACATAGTACAATCAGGAAATCCTCAAGTTATTCCTAAATATAAACCTCGTTCGCGGTATGATCTCTGAGGCCTACAATTGTGTACCATCTACTTTCGTTTTCAGTGCGTTACATGTACATATATGTTTATTAAAAAATGAAATTGATCCTTCCAGGAACAGCTTGTCTTTTTATCTAAATAATAAACTTAACAAAGGGAAATCGAATTTTAAATATATAATTAAAGCTGGAATTTAACATTGTGTATTTAAATTAAAAAACACATGCCGTGTTAAAAAGGGGAAATCTACGACCGGTTATCCATCTGAGACTAAATGAAAACGAAATTAACCTCCTTCTCATCAAATTACTTATAATGTATGCAAATATTCATATAAACTTTTGTCTTTGATCGCTGTCCATTCCCTCGCCATTTTGACGTCACTTCAGTTGTCGTCGACGTAACGCCACATTGCCATGACGACATGTATGTAGCCTTAACTTTGTTTTAGAACGAGTATTGTCTTATAAGTTAAATCCGGAAATACGATTTTGTCGTATTCACCTATTATGGTAGCCATGAACTTAAAATAATACAACAATTTAATAACGTAATATAACGGGTGGTCAAGTAATTAACATAACAAACCACAATGCATACAGCTGTGCTATTACTATAACATGACACTATAGTCACAGGATAAATTCAACTTAGCACGGTCGTCAAGTGATAAATATAACATTACACGCGATACAATGAATATACATGCAAGTTATATAACTATGCGTTTGGTTATCTGACGTCAGAAATAGCACAAGATGTGTTGGCTCGAGTAAATGTGTACCTCCACACAATAAAGGAGCGTTATTTGTGACATCAGACATATAGATATGTAAGGCATAATGTTCATTACATACATTTTGTTCACACATATGTTTCTGGTTTGTTTCGTATAAATATTCAATTAACTTCCCGAAAAATTGAAACGAACAGCAAAAAGGAGATATGGCTACTTAAGTAACACCACCTCGAGAATTGTCATAGTATAAAATACGGAACCTTGTATAGAGTAAACAAACAATAGAGCGGTATCCCCTTGCTATTGAGGCGATGTTCCTGTAATGATCAAATATAAACACATCCCACCGAATGTATTATTCTTGGTTTGATCAAGTTTCTGTCCCTCCATGTCACACGTTAAGTAAAATCTGAATTAGAGATAAATCTTTGTTGCAGACTTCGAGTTAAGATTTTGCCCTTGGGCACTGTATCTTTTTACTTCAAATAAAAAATAAAAAATAAAATAGTTAACCTTTATAAACGATTTTTTTTTAACGATTTTACATTCGTTGTACAGGTAACATTTTGTATACAATTACAATAATAATATACGAAATACGTGTTAAATCGTGCACATTGGAACATGTTGGGTGTGATTTGTCTTTATTAACGGAGGACGCACGTCTAATTATATACTCTACGATCTATAACAACACACCATTTGTCGACTCATTATAGAATACTTACAGCTTAACACGCTCACATAGATGCCTTTCACTTTAAGGTCCGTACTCCGACAAATATAGGTTCCCGCGTCACTCATATTGCTGTGTTTTATACGTAGTTTACTAACTAACGTCCGTGTTTCAGGCATGCGATGTTTTGTAATGTGAATTGTATTCCTTGCACTGCTTTTGATTTTGATACCGTCCTTAAACCAGTCAATATCGTCCGGAGTCATCAATTTTCCTGTGGCGTTACACGATAATGTAATGGGGTTTCCCTTCTCCACGAAACCGCCTCCACCCAGCTGTACTGCTGCAAGAGAAGTTCAGAAATAATTACATACGACCCGACCTGTTCCCGCGCAGTATTATATGTATTATATAAATGTATTACAACATAAATCGATATCATATTACACTTAGTGATGTATTACAGCTGTTGTGAACAAGACATGGAGTGGAACAATGTAGACTCGTGTAAAATAAAGCAGTGCTATGTATTAATCCGTCATACCATGTTTATGATTACACCATGCAGATTTAAGCTACAAAGGATTTTGCCATAACGACATTATCGCAGTGTCATAGTTAAAAGTAAAACATGTCACAAATAAATAGTATGATAATATGTGTCGCTTGAGCTGTTTCTGAACATCTATGTTACATTATAAGGTCGCAATTAACATTCATGTAATAATAACATGATACACTGAACACGAATTGTGATGGTTTTATAGGGAACGTGGAAAGTACGCACGGAGGGAAAACCTAAATACGTTTAACATCTACATAGTTACCTAACTTAAGTCCATCAGTTACCATGCATAAACTACATTTCTATGATTAGATCATTTTTTTAGTATTAATGTACTAATCTATTCTTGATATATAGTCAATGCCCCATTATTCCGTCTTTGCGTATTGCAGAGTTATCTTCTCTTGGGAGAAGGGAATGATTGTTACGTTATTGGTTTGTGTGAGAGAACTACGTCGTTTTCTTAAAAATTGATGACGTTCCTCTCCCAAACAAGTGACGTAAAAATCAATCCCTGCTCCCAAGAGAAGATAACTCTGCAATACGCAAAGACGGAATATTAGTTCAAGACAATATTTTGACGACGAGTAAGCACTGTGTGCTATCTATCTTAACTAGTTCTGATTAATTTCCGATAGTCCGATTAATACATATTATGTTAGTTAATCCGAAGGCTATCTAAAAATTACAATAATTGGCAATGCACAACAACAACTTCTTAGATCCAGTTGATATTATCATCCAAAGCATGCTCAAGAAAAAAACACTACAACACGTAGAGAAAATAGCTACCGTGATCAGCCAGCGATAGAAACTACAGGTGTTCAACAATTCTAGACAACAACAATAAAAGGCACAAGTAAGCTATCTGAATCAATATCAGTGATGCTATCAGTGTCGTTTATCAAATATGTAGCATTGCTATAATTAACCAAGACATCCACATCACACTTCTAGGCTAGAATGATGACCATACTCGAAGTTGACCACGCCCATTTGATCCCAGTTTCTACCACGAGTAAAGACTTGAATCGTTGCACTGTTGATCTATGTATTTCCTGGAGTTGACGGGAGCTATATCTGGAGCAATAAACGTTTTCCCTTTCGGATCTACATGTATGTCTTCTCTGTTCTTATTGTAGTCTTTACGATGTCCAGTATTAAGTTTGCTATTTTACTGACGGAAACCGAACGGGGAATATCAAAAAGGGTTGTTTCTCTGTTTTTATTTAAAATCTTTTCGAATATATTGATTTTGATAAAGCTCACTTCACAAAATTAAGTTAAATAAAGCAAAAATCGTTTTCGCTGCATTTTTTATTCGGTTATATCGGAGGAAAATTGTTGATCAAGTTGGCAAATGATCTTTTACCGATATTTACTTCTTTATAAGAGTTCTGCTCAAAGAAGTTACGCCTAAGCTTTGGCAAGTCTGGAAATGCAGTACGTTAGTAGCAAGGTTAGAGTCAAAAGGTACACGTGCCCTGTCCACGCCGGTTTTCAGTGATATATATGTGTTCAGCCTTCAATGGCGTCAGCTTTGGAATTTAGTATGGCAGGGAGTCAAAGTCTGTCTCATGAATTTAGTATTTCCCAGACCAAGTATCCGTCTTTTTAAACAAGAATGCTCACAGACAAACATGCAAACACCTCCAAGTGGAAGCGATATGCACTTTTCAAAAGGAAATAGTGCATTTATCTTTTGGCAATGCAGTTGTAGTCGGATATCGATTTTAAAATTCAATTTAGCGATGGTCTATTAATGTTATATCGTTTAAACCGAGAGGACATTAAAACCATGAGACAACACATACTCCACCACAACGTTTAGGAACCGGCATGCACTCCTCAACTAATACTACTGTGGCTGTGTTAACATTCTAAGTGTGCCACACGGTCGTAAAAACACAGGGTGAACCGGACACGCGATGCTTTTGTCAGTAAATGTGAGTGGTGCAAATAAAACTTCATGTAGACTAGACTGAAAATATACAATATTGTAACTTGTATTCATAATAACATCGAGATTGACTGAACGTCTGTACCTGGCAAGATCGGCAGGGGCCGTCGTGTGGGAACTGGAAGTAGACAACGAGGAAAGAGCAACGTAAACAAACAAAACAAAAGGTGAAGGAAACACAATGGCTACAGTGGTGCCGTGGTAGACGTCTCGACTGGCTGGCATATTAATACAGATCGAAATAGGGAAAGGGTGTGACTTTTAATCGGATAGATGCAGGTACTTCTCACGTCGAGGTGACTACCACGATTGCTGCAATGTGTACATACTGATGAGTACTGTACATGATTGTAGATAAACATCGCATGGAACACGTTCGTAACATGTAAATAGATAGTGCATGTATAGTCTACAAAGATATTGATACAGGATATCACTACAAATAAATACAAACATTTAAAAACAAATGGTTTATCTCCCAAAGCAGAGTAGAACAACAGTTGACTAACTACTATCCCAATGCAACTCCCGAGTTCTTATCACAAATCCTATCTGAAGTTTTTTCATTAGCAATTACAATTTTCACCCTCACTCCAAACTTCGTGTGATGACAAACATTAGTCTATGTATATACATAGCAAAGAACGCTGTCTCCTGTTCATTGCTATGACACCATAGAGTACTGGGTCATTCACGTAGGTGGTGTCTGGTGTGTAGGAGAGAATTGCTAACTGGTTAAGTGTCGATACAAATGGTTGTTGATCAATAATTAACCCAAATGAAGGATCCACTCGTAAGTGTTCAACGTTTCTTCAAAAGTGCTTGAATGATTAAATGCCAACCAAAAGTACATCATGCCACATTTTTAATTTCCAAATCTAATTTAAAATCAATTGTGCCGTTGGAAAATAGTAAAATGTTAAATGAATCACTATTATGAGAAGCTGAAATGTGATAAGACGACAATAAACCAGTTACACTTTAAAGAAACTGCTAAGAAAGGAAACGTGACGAACACAATGGAGACGTCATCTCCTCAGATCGGGACTTGTCTAAGACGGGCAAAGGCAGTCGACGAACTCGGCTACACGTACATGTGTGTTAATGTAACATGCAAGAAGCTTAAAGCACCGTTTGACATACTGAATATGGCCTTAAGGTAAAGCCATGCAATGAATGTTTTTTTTTGCCTATTCAACTTGCTCTAATTTTCGCTAGTTAATTGTAAATTCGTCGACTGCCTTTGACGAGGTTGACATTCGCGATTTGTCCCCACTTGCCTAACTTCCGGTTGTTCTTCACTTGCACTATTTTTGTACCAACTGGAACCAAATTGAAAAAGATGTGATGAATTCTAAAACTAGACCAGCAGTAGCGTAAATGAAACCAAAACCAACAATGAATTTATGAAGATAAAAATCTACTCAAGACAATCGTTTGTTAAATTTAATTTGAAGGTGGCTAATATATATTGTTCCTGAAAGGAATATATATACCTGGTGTTTGTCTTGATGCAGCTGAAAATAAAAAAGATGATTCTGTTAAATATATTATCCTTTTTAGGTGCTATAACAGTTGCAAGCCAAAGAACATGGTATACATGTATGTTGTTTTGATTAATGAACAAACAAATACAAATGTTTACGTTTTAAATCATCACTCGTTAAACATATCTTATAATTTAAAGATATAGATTTGTTTGTTCATTTATAAATACGTTTAATACTTTAATAAGTTTAAATTGTAGCGGTTGTACTTTGTAGTCTGAAGTCACACGCGAGAGCGCATAAAATGTTCTTTGATTCATTGGTAGTTCCCTATTCATTATTTACAGATGGTTTTGAAAAATCATGGATGTCACTTTGAACGATTTTCCATATTGCTCTTAATGTACTACGTATATTCATGTAATTGGAATGATCTTCACGAGTAGGCGGCATAAAGGCTATTTATAGAAAACTTACCTAACACTGTTAATGATACAGTTTTGTTTAAGTCCTCCTTGGTACTAATTTGGCACTCATACTCTCCCGCGTGTTCCTTCTGTACGTTCTTGATGACCAACGCCCAGATCTGGCTGCGGTCTGCATGCTCAACGGAGTAAGAGTTGTCACTCGTAAATACAAAATCACCTATCGTCAAAGCATGCTTCTCTGACTTCCTCTTCCATATTACCTGTGAAAACCAAATCAATGGGTCAAAATGAAAAAATGAAAACATATGCTTCGAATCTTCAATATAGAAAAACGAAATCCAAACTGTAACTCGACAAAAATGCAACGACAGGAATTGAAGTGACAAAAGAAGATGACAAATAAACATTAGCCTTCAAAAAGGCCGGAGATGATCCGGTGGGATAAATGTCATTGCACCTCTTGTGGTGCCAATCACCAGCCGCATTTCGTAATGTCGCGCGGGGTTGGTCAGTCATCCGTATCATAGAAATCATCCATGAATATCACATAACAGCCAGCAAATTAAGAGTGAACGTCGTATCAAACAGATGATAACGACTACCAAAACAATAAGGCTCGGGATATTAACGAATCGCCTTTCATGAAAAGGCTAAAATATATAGTTCACTATAGGACTGCCACTTCATTGCTGGCATTAAATTCAAGAAAAACGGAATTTTCAACGGAACAGATTATATTTGGGACCAAAAGACTACGATACAGCTTCAAAAGTGAGGATACACATCCTTACAGCTAGAACCCCGAGTGCACTTCAGGCAATGTGCGAACATCTTAGCCTGGTGACCTTACCACTAACAACAGTGCTGTCTCGGAAGTATGCGTACACAAGTGTGCAATCAACCTCCATTTAATTTGCATATGGATAACGTTTGATTAATTGCCGTCGTCTCCTGGGATTTTAAATGCTGTCTTTAATTCAATGCCTTGATCTGCGTTCAGCAATGTTATGCTTAAACATCAATATTCTTTTCGGTGTTTGTTTTCCCGTCAACAATTACAATATTGTTTCATTTTAGATATTGGCTAGCTACAGATATATTGCGTGATACAACCTCTATAACTATAACACTAAAATACTTCCTCTCACATTCTTTCATTGATTAATAATAAAAAAAATCGACTCTGTGAAAACTGACCCAATTTTTGCTATGATCTTATGAAAGATTAAAAAAGCATATTGCTTCCTGGGAATAAAACAATAGCGAGTCTCATAACATATCCTCATGAGACACCTTAGATAATGCTGCGGATGATCTGTAAAGCCACTTCTTTACATTAAAAACCTGTTATAATAAACAACGAGGACGCCCGGGCCAGCTTATGTGCTCGTTGTTGTGATTCACGGCAACAGTTCTAGGCACCAGCCAATCGGAAAGTGTACCTCAATACGTGATCCTGTTGCCGGACCATTGTAAATGTGTTTTATGAGGCCTGCTATTCTCAGATCCTGCTTCGATCGACCCCGCTTGATTTGATAAGACATAAATAACGGAGTTCGTACTAATATCAGGCTAGCCTGGAACAGACATCATCGGGCCAACGTCTATAGACGTCTATGAGAGAGGAATCAGTTAACATAACTGTTTCGGGAGAAGAAGCAATATTATATATTCCAGTTCATATTGACAATTGTGATATACTGGACACTGGTTCATGCTTGTCTAATGAAACAAAAGTTCTAAAACTTTCGGGCACATGAAAAGTATTTTGGCCGCGTCAATAATACCCCGATAATTGGACAGTAGTATTATATGGCCCAATCAATGTCAGCAGGACGTCTTGGAAGACCGTATGACATTAACGTTCGCACATTGGTAACTGATCGGTCTTATACCATTCTGAAAATAAGAATTAAAGCGACTACGCGTTTATTTAGTTCTATTAGTAGGTTATTTATTAAGTAAAACTGACACAAAGTAATGTACATGTATCATTATTGAAATATTTTACCGCAGTATGCCTGCCCAGTGCACTGAATGAAGTTCATCTTTTGTATTATCCTCTATTAAAGGAAGGCTAATTCGACGCGGATAGAGCTGATTGCTCAGTGTTATTAGGCTAATTCGGTAAAGTCTGTACGCCATGACTCGCCAGCATGAAACGTTTCTGTGTTGGTCTTCATGTCTGGCTAACACGGAAGCGCAAATAAACCACCAGATCACAACAGGAAGTAAATGCTAATTAGCAAACAGGACTCCCCTGATTTCAACAACATCAGTCGGATCAGTGAGCCTTAATGAAGAACAACTAAACTTCATCACAACAAACGTAACATATATCTACGTCATACATGAACGCAATGCTTCTGCTCTGGAATCCAGCAATCGCTATATTTCTAATTAAACCTAATGCTGTTTGTTTATAAAATTGAGTCAAAGAGTTTCATTGTTTTATCTACTTCCAAAAAGTATGAAATAATCGTTAGATCGTTTCCCTTGTTTTCTTTTTCATTTTATTATCTGGATGTGACGGTTTAGTGTTTTGTAAGTGATGTGGGGGTTTAGTGTTTTGTAAGTGATGTGGGGGTTTAGTGTTTTGTAAATGATGTGGGGGTTTATTGTTATGCAAGTGATGTGACGGTTTAATGTTTCGTTAGTGATGTGACGGTTTAGTGTTTTTGAGTGATGTGACGGTTTAGTGTTTTGTAAGTGACGTGACGGTTTAGTGTTTTGTAAGTGATGTGACAGTTTAGTGTGTTGTAAGTGATGTGACAGTAAGTGATATATGAGTGATGTCACGATTAACTATTTGTGTGATGTGGTGTTTAAGTGTTATGCAAGTGGTGTGATGATTTAGTGTTATGTGAGTGTTGTGAAGGTTTGTGTCATGTGAGTGATGTGACGGTTTATGTTATGTGAGTTATGTGACGGTTTAATGTTTCGTTAGTGATGTGACGGTTTAGTGTTTTGGAAGGGATGTGACAGTTAGTGATATATGAGTGATGTGACGATTTAGCGTTATATGAGTGATGTGGCGTTTAAGTGTTATGCAACTGATGTGACGATTTAGTGTTATGTGAGTGTTGTGAAAGTTTGTGATATATGAGTGATGTGACGGTTTATGTTATGTGAGTGATGTGATGGTTTAATGTTTTGTAAGGGATGTGACGGTTTAATGTTCCGTTAGTGATGTGACGGTTTGATGCTGTTTGAATGATGTGACGGTTTAGTGTTAGATGAGTGATGTGACGTGTTAGTGTTATGCAAGTGGTGTGACGATTTAGTGTTTTGTGAGTGCTGTGACGGTTTGTGTTATGTGAGTGATGTGACGGTTAATGTTACGTGAGTGATGTGACGGTTTAATATTTCGTTATTGATGTGACGGTTTAGTGTTTTGTAAGTGATGTGGCGGTTTAATATTTCCTTAGTGATGTGACGGTTAAGTGTTTTGTAACGGATGTGACGGTTTATGTTATATGAGTGATGTGACGAGTTAGCGTCATATGAGTGTTGTGAAGGTTTGTGATATATGAGTGATGTGGTGTTTAAGTGTAATGTGAGTGATGTGACGGTTTAGTGTTTTGTAAGTGATGTGACGGTTTATGTTATGTGAGTGATGTGACGGTTTAATGTTTCGTTAGTGATGTGACGGTTTAATGTTTCGTTAGTGCTGTGACGGTTTAGTGTTTTGTAAGTGATGTGACAGTTAGTGATACATGAGTGGTGTGCAATTTAGCGTTATATGAGTGATGTGGTGTTTAAGTGTTATGCAAGTGATGTGACGATTTAGTGTTATGTGAGTGTTGTGAAGGTTTGTGATATATGAGTGATGTGACGGTTTATGTTATGTGAGTAATGTGACGGTTTAGTGTTTTGTAAGGGATGTGACGGTTTAGTGTTTTGTAAGTGATGTGACAGTAAGTGATATATGAGTAATGTGACGATTTAGCGTTATATGAGTGATGTGGTGTTTAAGTGTTATGTAAGGGATATGACAGTTTGATGCTGTTTGAATGATGTGGCGGTTTAGTGTTAAATGAGTGATGTGACGTGTTAGTGTTATGCAAGTGGTGTGACGATTTAGTGTTATGTGAGTGTTGTGACGGTTTGTGTTATGTGAGTGATGTGACGGTTTATGTTACGTGAGTGATGTGACGGTTTAATATTTCGTTAGTAATGTGACGTTTTAACGATTTGTAAGTGATGTGGCGGTTTAATTTTTCCTTAGTGATGTGACGGTTTAGTGTTTTGTAAGGGATGTGACGGTTTATGTTATATGAGTGATGTGACAGTTAGTGATATATATAAGTAATGTGACGATTTAGCGTTATATGAGTGTTGTCAAGGTTTGTGATATATGAGTGATGTGGTGTTTAAGTGTAATGTGAGTGATGCGACGGTTTAGTGTTTTGTAAGTGATGTGACGGTTTATGTTATGTGAGCGATGTGACCGTTTAATATTTCGTTAGTGATGTGACGGTTTAATGTTTCGTTAGTGCTGTGACGGTTTAATATTTCGTTAGTGATGTGACGGTTTAGTGTTTTGTAAGGGATGTGACGGTTTAGTGTTTTGTAAGTGATGTGACAGTTAGTGATATATGAGTAATGTGACGATTTAGCGTTATATGAGTGATGTGGTGTTTAAGTGTTATGTAAGGGATGTGACAGTTAGTGTTATATGAGTGATGTGGTGATTAAGTGGTATGCAAGTGATGTGACGATTAAGTGTTATATGAGTGTTGTGGAGGTTTGTGATATATGAGTGATGTGACGGTTTATGTTATGTGAGTGATGTGACGGTTTAATATTTCGTTAGTGATGTGACGGTTTAGTGTTTTGTAAGGGATGTGACGGTTTAGTGTTTTGTAAGTGATGTGACAGTTAGTGATATATGAGTAATGTGACGATTTAGCGTTATATGAGTAATGTGGTGTTTAAGAGTTATGCAAGTGATGTGACGGTTTAGTGTTATGTGAGTGATGTGACGGTTTAATGTTTCGTTAGTGATGTGACGGTTTAGTCCTGTTTGAATGATGTGACGGTTTAGTGTTAAATGAGTGATGTGACGGTTTAATGTTTCGTTAGTGATGTGACGGTTTAATGTTTCGTTAGTGATCAGACGGTTTAGTGTTTTGTAAGGGATGTGACGGTTAAGTGTTTTGTAAGTGATGTGACGGTTTAGTGTGTTGTAAGTGATGTGACAGTTAGTGATATATGAGTGATGTGACGATTTAGGTTATATGAGTGATGTGGTGTTTAA